AAAAAAAAAAAAAAAAGTTCTCCAAGGTCAAGAAGGGAGAGTGTTGACACGTTGTGGGATTGTTAACCAATGTCATAAAACACTATGTGTACTGACTGCTTAATGAGAAACTATTTGTTCTGTAAACCTTCATCTAAAGTACAATAAAAAAAATTAATAAAAAATAAATAAATCTACAGAAAGCCTTCTTAAGTAAGATATTAACAAGCAGAACTATTACCATGTGAACCAACAGGAAAAACTATCAAAATAAATGCAAGAATGTGGATTTGTAGAATATAAATAGGACATCTTCCTGGAACATCAATTTTACTCAAGGATGTGAGGAAAATAATACTTTTAAATATCAAAAGGGATACAGATAAATCAAAGAGTGAAATGCAAAGTTTGCATGAATCTTCTAGATAAAACAGACTCTGAAGAAACCTCCTGCATGTGGTTGTTCACTTTTAGCTAAAGCCCTAGTTCTTGTGTCATTCACAGTTAACTTTTCTTGGAAAAGGAAGATTTAACAAGTAGTGGTTTAGGGCAAATCTTGACTCCATTTTCATTTTCTGATGATACACTATGCAAAGAGACACACAGAAGTCCTGGCTGGCATGGGAGACAGCCTGGTGAAACCATGCTGGAAGAGACCTTCAGTGACTGTGCTCCATCATGCATTCTAAACGGGGACAGTATCGCCCCCAAGAGGGCAAAAACTGGTTCTTGGGGGATGAACAAGTCTTGGCTATTCCAATGGTTTGTGGCCCTCCAAGAAGGCACAAAAAAGGAGCCCCGGTGAAGCAGTGATGGCTCAGTAGTTAAGGGGTTGGCTGCTAACCAAAAGGTTAGCAGTTTGAATCCACCAGCCACTCCTTGGAAACCCTATGAGGTAGTTCTACTCTGTCCTATAAGGGCGCTATGAGTCGGAATCGGTTTGATGGCAATGGGGTTGGTTTGCTGGTACAGTGACTAACCGCTCAGCTGCTAACCAAAAGGTCTGAGGTTCGAATCCATCAGCTGCTCTGTGGGAGAAAGATGTGGTAGTCTGCTTCTGTGAAGATTACAGCCTTGGAAACCCTACGGGGAAGTTCTACTCTGTCCTACAATGTTGCTAAGAGTCAGAACTGGCTCGATGGCTATGAGTTTAACTACCCACAGTATACAAAGATATTCAGTGTATTTGTGGTATTAAACTTTCATAGGGGGGGTGGCATTTAGGGAAGAAAATGTCTAAAAAGGCTCCTGAGAGATACCTTGAGACACACTGCTGTGTGCAGACATGCAGAGGAGCTGCCGGTACTTTCCCTTCAGTGGCTGCCAACTGTTTAACCACAAGCGCCATTATTATTTCCCTCATGATCTGAAGCTGATTTTCTTTTTTTTTCTGACTCTGTATTTTGAAAGATGTGTCTAATAAGCAAATGTCATCATATTGACGAATACGTTTCACCGTTTTATATTTCTGTCATACTAAGTCTTGTTCGACAGTGCTTAAGCACACCAAGTTTCCATTATTTCCAGGCAGAAGTAGAGGCATTTGATGTGTTAGTTTTCATGCATATAAAGTTATGGTTTCTGTTAGACTTTTAAAATATTTAAAACAGCATTTGACAGGACATAAAAATGATGGGTCATCATAGACTAAATTAAAATGACATTTATTAAAAAATCTAATGATGCAGCACGATTCTTATGATATTATGTTAAATGGAAATGAGCGAGAATTGACATATTTACTATGTTCCTAACTATGTGAAAATGTGCATAGACAAAACACTAGAAGGAAGTGCTCCAACATGGCAGTGAATTTCCTTTTGGACAACAGAGTTAATATAGGTGACTTCTTAATCTTGTTGATTTTTTTCTGTAATTCCATTTTTTCTTCAATGTACACGCACTACTTAAACATATTTAGGGAAACACACACACACACACACACAACAAAACAGCCTGAGATTCCTCTGCTAGTTTCACAGCTTGGGCTGCCTAAGGATAGAAAACTGAGAACCGAAGACTGACTTTCCCGATGGGAAAAGTCTAGCAGGCACACGATAAGTGGCTTGCCTAAGATCATTCAAAACATGGTCAGAATCCAGGTTTTGAAATCTTCAGGAGACTTTCACTATTTCTAATGCCCTCCATCCTTTGTCATTACTACTATTCCTTTGTTTACTATTTTTATCAATGACCATCTACAGAAATCCAGTTTAGCAATTGTTGCTACATACATACGTGATTTTTTTTACCACTTAATTTTGGCCTAGCTACTGGTGGGAAAATAACACAAACTTTGTTAACAAGTAAACAAATAATAAATAAATGTGTGCATAGCTTACTGAAAAAAGAACTCGTTCAAATACTATCATACTGATACTAGCTATGGGGCCTTGGGTACACTACTAAACTTAACTGTGCCCTACTTTCTTCTACAAAATGACATTAGTAATACCTAATTCAGAGTTGTTGTGAGGAATAAAATTATATCTATATTTATATATGTAAATATATCAAATACCGTATTTATATACATTAAAATTACATCTAGATATCTAAAATACTTAGCACAGTATCTGACCTATAGGAAGCACTTAACAAATTTCAGAAATTATTATTATATACAATCTGAGACATACTCTCTCAAGTTATTGAGTAGTTCATTGTCAATATTTGGGACAGACATCAAGATTCTTAGACCACTGATTTTACCCAGCTATAGTATCTGAGAATTAGAAGAAAAAATAACATGAATTTAGCTGATCAATGCACAAAAGAAATCTCAAACACTGCATTCTGGACATATTTATGCCATAAGCTTGAATTACTGCTGCTACAGATACAACTGTCCAACTATGGAAGAGAATGATTTAACTCACAGTTTTCATTAAATTAAAATAAAATAAAAAATCTTCTCATACATTGTGGTAGATAATTATGATAATTAAGGCTAGAGTCATAACATATAATTTTTTGAATCTATCTAGAAAATGGTGATAAAAGAACTACGTTAGACTAATGAATGTAGATTTGTAAGAAATAATATGCCAGTTTCCAACTGAAAACTATGTAAGGGGAAACATCTCAGGTAGTCGAACTGTGGTAATACTCTACAACACTGCAATTTCCTTTGCTGAAACACAAAACAAAATCGTAAGCACACATAATTTACCTGAAAACTTCCTACCAGTAATGACAACACATAGTCCAAGGCTTGTGTGAAGTGAAGACATTATTTCCAATTATGATTTTAATAAAGATAACTACAGAATACTTGGTACTAATATACAATTTCCTTAATATAAAACTATAGCATATTGAACCAGAGACTCCACCAGCCTGAGACTAGAAGAACTAGACAGTGCCTGGCTACCACCAATGACCGTCCTAACAGGGAACACAACAAAGAGTCCCAGAGAGAGTAGGAGAAAACTGTAGAACAGAATTCAAATTCACATAAAAAGACCAGACTTCTGGTCTGACAGAAACTAGAGGAACCCCTGAAACTCTGGCCCCCAGATGCTCTGATAACCCAGAACTGAAACTATTCCCAAAGCCCACTTTTCAGACAAAGATCAGACAGCCCTATAAAACAAAAAATAACACACGTGAGGAATGTGCTTCTCAGTTCAATCAGGACTATTCTATCACTTGGGTAAAAGACAGTTCAGGATTCTGGTAAATGTCTATTTAGGAATATTTCAACATGGTTTGTGACTCAAAGTTCTTCCTTGGAACTTCTAGAGAAAATACTAATCAGAATTCATATAGCCTGAAATCATACATGTGAATGGTATTTCTCTGGGCTCTAAAGCAGCCACAGAAGCAGTGAAAATAGTGTGTTTTGGGCACAACTCTCCCCATAATATATGTTTCTTTTAATCCAGTGTTAGAGGTACTAAATATATTATTTTAAATTATTCATGGTACTTTTCTCCAATTTGGATTTTAACCTTGTTTCCTTAAGGGATTTGCTTCCTTTTGTTATGTAGAGGCTGTCAGATATTGGCTCTCCTTCTTCTTGATTTTGTACATTTTTACCTCTAATCTATCCTTCCTACTGGAACCACAGGGTTTCACTGGCTATACATTGATATATTTGAAATCTTGTATGACTAGAAGTAAACGGACAAAATTTGAAAAGGTTAATACAATTTTCTATGATTTTCTGAGTTAACTGCAAGTGTTAAACCTACAAAAACATAGGAGGATTTCATGGCACTGAGGACATAAAACTACCAGACTGATGATTTCCCAAGCAGCCCATCAATTATCCTCAGTTACAGAATGTAGGGATATCACTATTAACAAAACTTCCCTGAACTGAGTGTTATGGGTTGAATTGTGTCCCCACAAAATACGTGTTGGCATACTAAACCCTGTATCTGTGGATATAATCCCATTTTGGAATAGGGTTTTGTTTGTTATGTTAATGAAGTAGTATCAGTGCAGGGTGTGTTTTAAGCCAATTACTTCTGAGGTATAAAAAAGAGTAGATTAGGCACAGAAGCAAGGAAGCACAGATGGGGGAAGATAGATGCCATGCTACATGAAGATGGCAGAGGAACAGAAGCTGAGACAAGGACCTTCCTCCAGAGTTGACAGAGAAGCCTTCTCCTAGAGCCAGTGCCCTGAATGTGGACTTCTAGCTTCCTAAACTGTGAGAAAATAAATTTCTGTTCACTAAAGCTACCCACCCGTGGTATTTCTGTCATAGCAGCACCAACAAACTAAGGCACTGAGGTTTGAGCTTAATAACAAAACGCAAAGATCTTAACATAAGACATAAATATATGTCAGAAAAAGTTAAACAACTGAAATAAAAATATTGCTCATATTGCTCAAAAAACGTGTTTAGCCCAATACACGCATTAGCTATCCTTCCTCTCTCTCCCTCCTATCCATCCATCCATCCACCTATCCAAGAAGCATGTGATAGGATACTTGGGGATACCAAACAACAACTCTGTCTTCAAAGCATTAAAACTCTAGTCAAGGAGACAGATGAGTAAACAGTGATCAAAGAAACAAGGAATGAATAATGGAATTTCAGGAGGTGACAGGTGCTATAAAGAAAAATAAAGCACAACAAGGGGGTAGAAAGTGACTGCAAAAGTAGGGCAAGATACTTCAGACATAGTGGTCAGGAAAGCCTTCTCAAACAAGCGGAAGAACAGTATGTCATTATCAATGACCATGAGAGTAATTTACATTTAGTAAAACAGTATATCCTTCTACTTGATGGCTGGGAGTGGGGCAGTGCACTCTAGCCTCAAGTAAGCTATGAAAATAGTTTGGTGCTTGTATACATTCTAAAGAGATTTTTTCCCTTAATGAAGAAATAAAGAGAACACAGCATTTCACTGTATAAAGGGAACTTACCCCTTCTCTCATATCTGATAAGGGAAGAGCTTGAAAATGAATAAATTTTGAATTAAAGAATGGGTTGTACTGATCAAAGATAATATGAAGTCTGATTTTTTATTGCATGAAGCAATTTTGTAGGCATTCCCCTCATAATACAAGCTTTATAAGTAAAATACAAAGGTGATAAAAATACTTTCTTAGGTTGGCAATGCTCGTTACATGATATAGAACATAAAAAGCTACTCTTAAAAGCAAAAAGCACTACAGGAACATATAGTATTATTATTACTATTATTAGTCAACCGCACCTGGACAGGGAGGAAGCTGATCATAGTCCTGTGATGTTCTGTTGGATTTGACATTTTCACCGGGTACTCTCCTAGCAGGAGGCAGAGGAATTTGGCCACTTGCTGGATCAAAAAATGGATCTTAAAAATAAAGACAATTTTCAAATTAAAAGGATGATAACTATCAACTGACTAACAAAAAAAAACTTTGGAAATTTTCTATAAAGATCACAGTTTTTGAAAATGAATTAGAAAGTTCATGACTGATGTTAACCATTTTCTAATCTGTGTATATATTTTCTAATTTATGCAACACTTGCTCAAAATGTGCTCTTCTCATTTATTTATAGATAATATGGAATACTGTTTATATTTTTCACATCTCTTATTTAATTATCAGTTCATTTATAATAAAACCTGCTTCTAAATTTTATTTTCTGTCCCTATCTGTCCTATACAATGAATGAAAACTGTTTTAAAGGTGAAAAAATTTGGTTTTGGATTTTACAATCAACTATAAGAATATTATCAAATCACTTAATATCTCTGAAGCACTGTTGTTAGTTGCCACTGAGTCAATTCCGACTCATGGGAACCCCATGTGTACAGAGCAGAACTGCTCCATAGGGTTTTTAAGGCTTTGACCTTTCAGAAGGAGACCATCAGGTCTTCTGAGGCACCTCTGGGTTGGTTCAAACCACCACCGTTTTGGCTAGCAGCTGAGTCCTTAGCTGTTTGCACCACTCAGGGACTCCATCATAGGCAAACTTATCTGTAAAATGGAACCGAGATTTGACATCTGTGAGGTTTAAGAGAATGAACGTATGTGAAATCTCCTACACAAGATAGTATTATATCAAACATTCTATGGGAAAAATAATTATTGTTAGTTGATGTATTGAATAGTAAATTGTTAAAAATTGTGCTATTATTAATGTTAAGGTTTGAACATACAGCTGAATGTGGTTTTTTACTACCCTGACAACCAACCAGTAAGACAGCGTCTGTAAAAGTGAAAAATATGAACTGTCAACAAATTAAAAATATTTTACTACTTGTAATTCTAGGTATTGGGAGCCCTGGTGGACCGGTGGTTAAGTGATCGGCTGCTAACGCAAAGGGCAGTGGTTTGAACCCACCAGCTCCTCTGTGACAGACAAGACCTAGCGATCTGCTCCCATGAGGATTACAGCCTTGGAAACCCTACAGGGCAGTTCTACTCTGTCATATCAGGTTGCCATGAGTTGGAATCAACTCAATGGCACACAGCAACAATAGTTATAGATATACAACTAACAGTTATAGGTTATAGAACTAACGAGAGAAAAAGAGATTTTGTCAATGTTGCCATGTTAAATCGTCAACCTTAAATCTAACTTTTATATTAGCAGCATATATATTTAAACCCTTAGAACTGATTCCTGTTTTGAGTACAATCTATTTTTCACTGATAATTTATTGAGCCAATTCTTCCACCTCAACCTCCTGTTTTACTCTGCCATATTACTTTCTTTTATGTCTGCCAGTACTTCCAAAGGACCTGCAAAGCCTTTTGAGATCAGGGGACTTTGTCTTAGTCATCATGTTTGTATGACATACCCTAACAAAAACACAGTACCTAGTACATTGCTTGGCAGAGTCTGTGCTAAATAAACACTGATTTTTTACTACCAACACTAAACTTCCACTCAGCCAGATTCAGATTTTTTTCAATAAATTTCAAATCATCAAAATTTGAATTGCTACCAGAAGGCCAAAATTGCAAATATTAAATCAGATCTGATTATATTTCATTGTGTTAACCTGCATTTGAACTTGACATTAAGAATATGTAAGAATTTGCTTATTTAAGAAGAAAAATTGTGCCTAAAAATTGCCTACTATTTATATTAATTTGTGACTGGGTAAGTAAGGCAGGAGTTGAAGACATGCATTATTTTTCCCACTCCCCCTTTTTTTGAGTATATTAATTATCCCCAGCTTTGATGGGAACTTTCTGACCTAAGCAAGGTTACTCAACCTGCTTTCATTTAATTCCAATATTGAAATAACTCTTAAGACTTGAGCCTTCAATATTTGAAGAGTCAATGGTTCAGCCGCATTACTTTTGCTGAAACATTTTAAGAGGTAGAGCTCAGAGGGAATGAGTACAGAAATCAAATCCCATGATACAAATGTTAATCTTCTGGTTTGCAAGAGGGACCAAAGAAACTAAATATGGTGATTTCTGCATAAATTTATAAATTTCCCCAAGATTAGGATTTACATATTCAATAAAGAATTACACTCAGTTACTGTGCTTTCTAAAATGCCCCCAATATAACATTAGGTCAGATGAAAGATTGTCTTTTGTAATACATAACTTTTTAATTTCCTTAGGGGTAACTTAAAGGTTTATTAGAAATACTCATGCTATTTCTAATTATTTACTTAATTAAGATTAACGAGTAAATTCTGGATGTATTTCAGAGTCATAAACTGGCACACTAGAAAACCATATGGGTATACCACATTGCTCCATTAATCTATTTTACTTAAAAGTCAAAGATACACTAAAAATACTGCCTTAAATAGCAAAAATAATTATTTATGGTTTAGTTCTGAGTCACTTCCCACTGTCTTACTTCATGCAAAGTTTGCTACTGGTCAGGTATAGGGCAGGTAAACTGGTAGTAAGTTATAAAATGGTGCTTAATTAAGCATTCAAGTTTTAAAGGGGGAAGATATTATACACAACACAATTACTACAGAATACAATAAGAGAACACAATTTTCAACTGTTCCTTGATAAGGAACTTTTGAAAACCAATAGTTTTATTTTATTTTTTTTAATTCTTCAAAAACTATTCACATTTTTATACCCACATTTACCACAAAAACATACAAAATGAAAACACGACAGCCAGTGTACCATATAGATAGTATAGCAATAAATGCTTGAGAAACGAATGAATAAACAATGTAATTAACCTACTCTAAAAAGCAAAGACAATCTTTTATTGCCACCATCTATGTTTTATAGTACAATAATATAAGATGGACAATTTAATACTTACTTTAGTGATTACAAAAAACTAGGAAAAGACTTGGCTGCTAACCAAAAGGTCAGCAGCTTGAATCCGCCAGCCACTCCTTGGAAACCCTATGGGGCAGTTATACTCTGTCCTATTGGGTCGCTATGAGTCGAAATCAACTCGACAGCTATGGGTTTGGTTTGGTAACTACAAAATTAAGTGGAAAAATATGCATCAATCAAAATTATGTTGTGTAAGAATATTTAAAAGCATGGAAAAAGTTCACAGTACATTAAGTGTAAAAAAGTTGTAAATAGCATATATTATGTGAAATTAAGTTTACATAAACATATGTATATATATACATGAACATATATATACATATATATACACACAGACAAAACGAGGAAGGAAACATATTAATAGTTCTCTCTAGGAAAAGGTAGCATGGCATTTTTCTTCATTTTTTTTTCTTCCCTCTATCTGAAACACTCCCAAATTTTTACTCAAGTGTAGAAAAAGAAGCAAATAAAATTGAATAGTTAAAACAGTGGCATGTCTCCTCAGGGGGTCTTAAAAAAAACATCTGGAGGATTTATCAGTTGTTCCCGAAATTTAAAAAGTATCAATGACGAGTCTAACTGCTGGAAAGGGTTTGAAAAGCTGTTTAGATGGAACAGTTTCTCCCCTCTTTGCTGCTTTCACTCTTTAATTCCCCTTCATAAAACTCCCAATATGTAGTTAAAATCCTTCAGTATTAGAGAACTCAGTAAACTCAGTACCCTCTGATATTGTTTCTCTCTACTTCTGAACAATTCTTAAAAATTTAGGAAGCTCTTTCTTCACATGAATGAAATTCTCCTTTTTAACACTTCTCACTGGTCTTACTTTTACCTTCTGTAAGGGACGCATGGAAATAAATCTAATCCTTCTTTCACAAATACTGTAGTTGAAGACAATTCTAATATATATCCAAGGTCTTCTCTTCTCTTCTCTGGGTTAAACATCCTCATTTCCTTTAATCTACTTGATGTGGTCTGAATGACCTTTATCATCCTGGTTGCACTACTCTAGTCATACCCGCTGAATGACTCTCCAACTTGAGCATGCATTGTAATCACTTGGAGGACTTGTTAAAACACAGATAACTGGGTCCCACTACCAGAGTTTCCGATTTCATTAAGTCCTGGGTAGGTCCCAAGGATTTGTATTTATAATATAACCCCCATGTGGGGCTGATGCTGGTGGTCTAGAAACCAAACTTTGATAACCACTGTTGTAATCCATCAGACCTAAATATAGTGGTCCCCATGCAGCTGACCACTGTGTGGCCTCACCCCACTCCTGGATCAGAATTCTGTGAGCACAACCACCCATGACATGAGCTCCCTTGGTAGTCACATCATGACAGTGCTTCACAAAGGTCCTTGTCAACACAACTCCCTACATCCTTTTCAACAACTGTTGCTAATGATCTGTATTTTCCTCATGTAATTGTATTTCTGCATCCAAAAGGAAAACTTCCATTTATCTCTAATAAAGTCCATTTTGCTAGCATTCAGAGTTGAACTGTGATTTGAAGATTGGAAAACAGAGACAGGATTTCAGAGAAAAGTAAAGAAGAGATTTCATGTTAGAGATATAGTGAAAGAAAGGTGGAGATAGTTGTCAAATACATTGTGCAATTAGTACACTGCACAAGGGCACTCGGTAATGGCATGAGCGGGGCTAAAATGCAGCCTTTCTTTGATCCCCAAGCCACCAGACCTCGCACAGGGTGGAGAGAGGGATCTCTATTTCAAGTGCCATCCCAAACGAAGTGCCTTTTTCTAATTCAGACAAAATCACCTAAAATGCTAGATGTAACCTTCAGTTTGGAGACAAAAAAGTATAAAAGCCTTTTCGAGAACTCTTCACGTTTTGTTAAGATATAGTCAGCCTGTACACAATAGATGACCCATACACTGCACTGGGATTAAGTATTTTAGAGTTATCACTGTATACTCCAAGTTGTGTGTGTGTGTGTATGTCCCAACACTTCTGTATTTTATCCACACATTTTCTCAAACATTCTAAATTATCAAGTTGGGTGGCACAAATGGTTAAGCACTCGTCTACTAGGCAAAA